CATGTGCCAGGTGTGGTGATGTATGCCTGTAACTCCAGCACTCAAGGGGCTGAGGCAAGAGGATCATGAATTTGAAGCCAGTCTGGGCTATGAAGACAGACTCTATCTAATAAAACAAAGGGCATGACTCTAGGTTCTTGAAATACAGTGAGTTCATAACTTTGAGGCATGCACAGTGTTACCAAGGAACCTGGCAATTAATTGCTAATTTTTAATACACAATGGTTAAGAGTTACAGGGTGCTATGATAGTAGTTATGAAGCATACCCAAACAACTCATTGTGCTTTATAAGAAAAGACTTCCTAGAAGCACTCAGAGATTTGTAAAGAAAAAAATTACATGATTATATTGGTAACTGAGGAAGATAGTTCTACTAGTAGATATGACTATTTCAAAGAAATACTGAAGAAGATATTTTTCTAACAACTAAGGTATTTTTCTAACAACTCATATATAAAAGTCAATTGAACTGTGATAGTAAGAATTGAGAGGTTAAAAACAGAATGAAGAGTCTTTTTGGTCACAGAAACAACAAAATCATGAGGTTCTCCTGGAAGCAAGTGTTATTGGAAAGGTGCTTATTAGACAGACCCTGATCTTTCTAATTGGTTACTTGAGTGGCTGAATATTCTGAGTTTGAGAAAAACAAGGAAGAACAGAATTAGGAGAGAAGACAGTCAACTCTGTTTGAGGCATATTAAGTTAGAGGCAACTTTACAATTAGAGATGTTTGGTGGGCACTGATACCATGTGTCAAACATAAAACAAGGCTAGAAACAGAAGTTTTGGCATCTGCAGAACATGTAGATGACATTTGAAACCAGATGAGATTTCTCAGTATAGCACAGAAGTATAAATATAGAAAATGTGACTGCACCATACGCCACATGTAAATAAGACAAACGAAACAGAGAGCTGAGATATAGCACACCATGTAGACATGCAGCATGAATTTTCAAGCCAAAAGGCCTACCTTCAAATTTTAACTCTTTATTGGCTATATGACCTTGGAAAAGGTATTAAATGTGTTTTGTTCTCAGTTTCTTCATCTATAAATTGTAAACTACTTCAGAAGGTATTAGGTCTTTAAATAACTCAGTGTTTATAAAGCATTTTGAATAATTATATTTTAGTAAATGTAGTTTTGTTTTTTTATTAATTATAAAGTATTATAATTCTTTTAGCCCCAAATATTGATCTTCATTATATGTCCCATTTTATTTCTCTACTATTTCTTATTTTTCTGGAGGCCATGGTTTGTTTATCTTATTCTTCTCCTAAATTCTAATGGGCCCTGAATAAAGTATTATTAAATTCACTACCTATTTCATGCACAAAGTAAATCTTAGGAAAGATAAAATCAATCCCTTTCTTCACAAAAAAATTATTTTATAAAAAATCATGGGAAAGTTCTCTCTGGGCATATTACAATGTAACCACCTGTTTCTAGAGACTAAATTGATCAACAATTTTCTCCAAAGAAAATTGATCAATAATTTTCTCTTATATTGTTTTTCAGTTTCATGACTAAAATTACTGAAATGAGATTTCCATCCATTCAAACAGTTTCAGCAGTTAGAGTTAGTAATTTTGATCCACTGTGCAATAGGGACTGCACTAGATGATATAAATATGTACTCATATATTCTTCACAATAATCCCTTTTGAGTTGTCTAGGATGTTTGCTACATAACTGGAGAAAATGAGCATGGTCAGAATCTCTGCATTATCTCAAGATTAGGGAATTTGATTCAAAATGATGACCCATAATTAAGCAGATGGTTACAAAACAAAGCGTCATTCAACATGGGCTGATTGTCACTTTCCTCTGCAGTGTCTTTGTTTTGGACACAAGGCATGTGGTAGGATGCCTGATGATGGCCCCCTCCAAGATTTCCTGCCCTACCCTACACAGAGGATTCTTGGGCATCTTTGTACCTAGGAATTACTTCCTATTATTTAGAATGACTAATGGGCACTAAACTTTTCTTTATATTCAGTTCATGGAACATCCTCTACCTGAACCCACATGAGGCCTAGTCAAGAATTGTTGAGTTTCTCTTACCTAAGCAAAGTTCCATGTTTAATATTTGACCAGTCTTAATGAGATTCCAAGTTCACTTTTTAAGATAAGTCTAGTGTCCTAAGATTATCTCATTAACAACAGACATAAGTATTGCAAGCTCAGAAATGGGTTTGTCCTCATAAGATAAAGGTGTTAGAGAGTTCGATTGAGATGAACTTAAAAAATAAATAGATCATGGAGAGGGAGAAGAAAAGGAAAAAACAGTATCTTGATATAGAAATAGAATGCTAAAGGCACCAAATTTAAATTAGATGTGTCTGGGCAATAAATAGACAATTTCCCTGGAATCGCATGCTTAGCCAAAAAAAAAAAAAAAAAAAAAGAGAGAGAAAACAAAAAGAAAAGAAAGGGGTTTGTAAAGTACTAAAAAGTTTGCGCACCATCTTGTGGTTATGGAAAGTGTCAAGAAAGGTGGTGCCATAAAAGAATCAATTTAGGGGAGTCTGTCACTAAGGTAAGATGCTGAAATGCTAACATAGAGAAGGAATTCATAATATTCTGAATTTTAAATCTGGGAGAAGTCTTCATACATATTTTAAAAGTGCCTGCTTTGAGTGGTTGTTTACATTTCTTTCCCACAAGATAATTATATGGCATGAGTTAGAGTGGATTTTCTGTAAAAGACATATAACAAATATTTTAGTATTGTAAACACAGTCTCTGCCACACCTACCAATTTGCTGTTGTAGCATAAAAGCCTCCTTAAACAATATGTAAATGAAATGGTATGTTTGTGTTCCCATGGGCTTTGTTTATAAACACTGAAACTTGAATTTCATATAATTTAACATCACAAAATTGCATTCTTCTTTTGATACTATCCAACCTCCTAAAAATGAAAAAAACAGTTCTTAGCTTGTAGATCATCTAAACTCAAATGGCAAACAGGATTTCTCTTGTAGGTCAGTTTGAAAACCCCCTGGTTTATAGAATAGCAGTCAGAGTTCTAAATCCAACATCATTTTGAAAACTTTGAATTCTCTAAAATCTTCTACAGAATATTCTATAGATTGTCAAAGTGGGAAGTGAAATGTTAAGAAAAGAAGGGATAACTGACTAGCTCATCAGACTAACTACACTGACCACTGGGGCCAGGGGGACAGCATTTGTTCCTGTGCATTCCAAACCAATAGTAGCATACATCTGAAAGCTTTAGGGGAAAAAAGTCAATCAATATGATTTCAAACACATTCTATACTCAGCATTTGCCTAATTTCAGAGCAAAGGCGGAGTGATGGGCTGGGCCTTGCTATTATTCAAGTTGTTTATGATATCCTTAAGGAATGTAGTTCAATGCAGTCCTTAAATAAATGATGTGGGTAGCTCAATGGCATCACCTCACATAAAGAAATCGCATACCTGTACTAAAGTCTGACAATTGTTAGGCAAGAATAGAAAGAAGGAATTCCATTAATGCTCATATGTTCTCTACTTTTCAAGTGTTGTTAGAGTATCATCATGATAGTCCAAAAAAGTAAACAGTCCCCCATGACATAATGTATAGAATCCCTCTCATTTCTGCCAAGTAATTTCCTTTTGATAACTTGGCACTAGTCAGTCTTATAAAGCAAGCATTACCAAATATTTTTCGTTGTTTGGATTCAACTTTTTTCCCTTGTCCTTTGATATATCTATATCACAAATATATGAGAAAATAAATAAAATATGTCAATATAAGAATTCAGGAAAGGAAAAGTTTACATGAATACACATCTAAGGGCTGGAGGAGTGGCTCAATTGGTAGAGCATCTGCCTAGCAAGCATGAGGCCCTAAGTTCAAATCCCAGTACCACAAAAAAAAAAAAAAGGATTAATTATCCAAAGTGGCATACCATGTGACAGAGTAATTGGCTTTGTCCTTAATGTACCAGTAAAGTATATGTCACATATGCAAAATGAAATGGAGACAAAAATAGTAATTTGGCCTAATTTGAAGGCAGTCACTTATTTCAGTTATCCACTTTAACATGAAAAAAAAAATAACTGGTACTCTTTAAATATTGCAGAACTAAATTTCCTGCCATTCCCTTATAACCATTTCTATATTTAAAAATTTTAAAACATGAAATGTCAGTATTTAGTTAAAATGTCTTTAATATTTGCCTACATTTAAACCATAATTGTGGTTAAAGAAACCTGTAATGAAAATTACATGACAAAGACATACTACCAACTGGTCTCCTTAATTAGTTCATAAATATCTAGGAATGAATCCTTTCATGATTTATTTACTTTTTGTGAAGAATATAGAGTTATTTTATAAAAGCAAAAAATTAGCCAGAAGCAATCTTATCCCATTTATTTTTTTAAAAAGTAAGTGGCAAAGACTTTTCTAAGTGGCTTTCTCAAAACTATCCAGAACCTTTGAGATTAAACTTCACCCTTGATAAATTAGGAGGTACAGAAAATACAGTTCTTAAGGGGAAAGACCCTAGTCTGTGACCTGGCATGATTCCTTCCCCACAGGGGTATAACTCCCATAAATGACCACATGTGGTATGCTGATATCTTTTCATTACACAGTATTTAGCCTGTATTCAGCCAATATATAACTAAATTCATGATGTATTTCTTCACTATTACAACTACAAATATATATATGGAAACATCTAGAAACAAGTTATCATGAATAAGTAAGTAGATAAAGTACTTATAAGAGTTAGACTAACGCTGTTTTCATGGAAATGTATTGTTTAAATGCTACACTCCCATTCCAAGGCTCTCATTTTATCTAACCTCTGCATTAACTCAGTTTGGATTATTCTTTTACGTATTATATAGCTTTTTACTATTGTTAAGCAATGTATTTCCATCCAACTCCATATAATAATTCTGTCAGACTCATATAAAAGCAATTTTTGAATGTACAGCAAATTGTTATATTAAAACAATTTTTTTCTTATTTTTTCATAGACTTGAATCAAAGGAGCCATTCCTGTCTGTTGGGTGAGTATATGCCAAAATATGTTAAATATTATTTAATTCATATTAACAAGGTCTTCTGAGATATTTCCAGCTATTTAATTCTGTATTTAAAACTGTAACACCATCCTTGCATGCAACATTGCTGTGTTTGTTTTATAAACACTAAACTTAAATGTTCCCTAGGTTGTTTTGTAACCTCAGAAACTCAGCTAATAGTTGCAAATGAAATCTTGTATCTTCTGTAAAAGCTTCTAGAACTTCCTATAAAAAGTACTGTGAATATCCATATTATCAACATGAACAGATGGGCTTAGATGGGTTTAAAAATTCCTCTGTGTCAACAACTTCATTATTCCTAGTCTGTGTACTTATATGTGTACATTTCTTTTTAATCTACATCACTCAATGTTTCTTCTTACTCCTCTAAAATCATCTTGAATACCTCTCTTTCCTCTTTTCCCTCATTTCACATTATTTCTTCAGTTAACTCCCACTGACTGCTTTTCTGAACATGAAGCTGAAAAGCCCTGAGGCAGAATTTGGCATGACTGATGCTTGCCTCCTCTGATGGTCATTGTTCTGAATTACAGAGCATGTCTGAATAATAAAATATCATTGACAAAGATACATGTATACTATTATCCAGCATTTAGAACTAATTACGAATCAGCAATGTTGTTTTTGTCTGATCTATCAAATAATACTTTGACGACTATATGAAAATGTGTTATAAAGGGGATTTACAGGCTTAACATTACAGTTGATGTATCAAAAACTTGGAAGAGGTGATCATACTAAATTTCATGAGGACATAAAAGTTAGATGTAGGTAGATGCTATACTTATGGTTAGTAACTAAAAGCATGTAATGAGGTTACATTGTTAAATGGCCAGACCAATTCTTCTATTACTTTGTTCACACTCCTGGAATATTTCTGTCACTCACTGAACAACATCATTTGCAATTCCCTTCTATTCCTTATGAAAGCATTTCAGAAAGCCATTCAAATCCTGGAAATCAAAATAATTGTTAGGGAAGGTGAAAAGAGAAAAAACGGAATATATGCATTTTATTGGAGGATTTCATGAAAAATGAAAGGTCAAGTTGGTCTGGCCATAAAAAATCATTACAGCATACTTCTCTCCTACACTGATCATCAGCTCCTATTGTTAAAAACCTTCAAACCCAAAGAAGTCTTTTATTTGAATGCATACGTGTCTGCCTGCAAGTCAAGAGGGCTGAAATAGCTTCTCTTCATGCCTCACTTAGGACAGTTTCTCTGCAGCCTTTTCTGTTCTCTTGACTATTTTGAGATGAGATCCATCTTTTATTACATACCTCCATTCAGCAAGGACATAAGGATTACTTACTTCTTAAGTAATCTTTGTTTCAAACTTATCAGGAGTTTAGCCCTCAGTATTAGAGACTTGAGAAAAGCTCCAAAACAAAATGATGTTAACTCAGCAAATGCTCAAAGAAGAAATATTGACAAATCACTGATTAGATATTGCTGTTTTCTCTCTATGTATGGGTGCCTAGGCTAATTCCACAACTTGGCTACTTAGAACAATGCAATAACAAACATGGGTTTTCAGAGATCTCTATTGTATGCTAACTTGATTCCTTCAGTTATATACCAAAGAGTGGTATAGAAGGGTCATGGTAGTTCTACTTTTGGCTTTGTGAGGAACCTCCATATTGATTTCTATAGTGGGGGCACTAATTTACATTCTCAACAGTATGTAAGGTTTCCTTCCTTATGCACCCCACACTCCACATCCTCCCTAGCATTTGTTTTTGTTTTCTTGATGACAGCTATTACCACTTGGGTGAGATAGAATCTCTTGTAGCTTTAATTTGCGTTCCCCTGGCAGCTAAGGATGTTAAGCATTTTTTTCACATTTTTATTAACCACTTGTACTTCTTTTGAGAACTGTCAGTTCCATTCATTTTTCCATTTATTGATTGGATTGTTTGTTTTTTAATGTTTAATTTTTGGAATCTTCATAATTTGGGTATTAATTCCCCATCAAATGAATATCTGGCAAAGATTTTTCTTCCATTCTGCTGGCTTTCTCTTCTCTCTTGTAATTGTTTCCTTTGCTGCGAGCACTGTACTGGCACATAGAAATTGCTCATAATAATAGTTAGCCATTATTTCAGTTCTGAAGGCATATGTACATTCTCCAAAAACATTATCAGAGATCTCTGCAATACTTCAGAAGAATAAAAATCCATTTTTATGGACAGTGCTTTGAGTTACATTTGTAAACCAAAAGAAGTTTTAATAATGGAAAAAAGAAAAATAGAAATTATAATAGAATGAGCTACCAAATAAAATGAGTATAGACAATCATTCAGATTTTAATAATAAACACCAGTAATTAGCATTTAAAATTTTTAAAAAGAAAGAAATAGGGATCAGAATGTAGCTCTTCCAAGAGCACTTGCCTAGTGCAGGGAAGGTCCTGAGTTCAATCTCCAGCACCACAAAAATCAAAGAATAAGTGAATAGAAATATTGATAAATTTTGCATTTCTTCTTAAAGGAGGAAAATTCTTTTCTTAATAAGTGTACAACATTAGTTTTGAAATAAAGATTTAATTGTCACAGTATAAAATTAATGTGAGTGTACCAGTGGAGAAACTGTCAATGATAAGTACAATGCAAGAAAATATTTGCTTTCTGAGATACATCAGAGACTTATAAAAGGAAGCTGAGTGAAATCTCAGATCTTTAACTATACATTGATGTAAGAAAAACTCTTCTTCATACACACCAACAATTATTAATAAAATAATGTCATTACGAAAAAATAAACTACAGCCTCTTCTTTTCTCACTTAATGGCATGGCCCTGCAATGCACCTAGGTAAAGTGAGGGATGAAGACTCATTCCAGTGTCGAATTCTGTTTCCTCAGGCAGCAACACAGTGTCTTCCAAAGCTACCTATGTGTCGTGATACCAGCTAGGCTTGGGAGCCAGTGTCTGTATGGAGTTGTCAGCCTTCTTCATCCTTTCCATGTGCATATACACAAGTCTTTCTTACTGATAGTTGTGGTCTCTGGAAATTTGTTTAGAAAATCCTTGAATTATAACTTTCCAAAGTCCCTACCTGTTTTGAATGCATACAATGGAGGTGATCACAATGATCTAGGCTTGTCTTGGGATTCATCTATCAAAGACCAGGGTAGATGCAAAGAGTTCAGAAGGCATGCCATGTAAGTCTGCACACTGCCTGTGCAAAGGTACACAAAATTGCATTCTGATGTTTCCTAGACCAAAGACTAGGATCATATTAAACTTTAAAGTTTAAAGTATCAAAAATATAATTTTAATGCCAGTCATACTGGTACATGTCTGTAATTCTAGCACTTAGGAGGTAGAAGCAGGAGAATCACAAGTTCAAGGCCAACCTGGGCAATTACATAGAGAGACCCTATTTCAAAAGTAAATAAATAAATATATAATACACACATAAACATAATTAAATATTAAATATGTAAGAATGTCTTTTAAATATCAATAACTTTTTCTTTTAAATTATAAAGATATTTCTATATAAACTTATTCTTTATATATTTATAAAATATGAGTAAATTTATTACAATATATGATATTTAACACATGCTGATGTTATGTGTTAACATGTGATGTTATGAAGTAGATGTAAATTTATTTTAAGTTTAAACATTAACATTATTGCTTATCTTTACTTAAGACTACAGATAAATTGAGCAACTTCATTTCTTAGTATGAGGCTTAAGCTTGGGAACTAAACAAGTATTGAATGACCAATATTCAAATTATTCTTGAAACATTCCATTCAAAGGAATACTAAAACTTTGCTTGCAAATATTACCTTTTATAAGACATCACTTTCTGGTTTTGGAAGTGAGCTGGGAGAATATAGTCATCAAGGTTGGCTTTAGAAAAGTGAGTAAAAACAGAGTGATCACCTCAATTAAGATTGTAAGATACAAATCTAGTTTAAAACCAGTCATGCCTTGAAAACACTTTCTACAACTTTCTAATGAAAATACAGAATGAGAAAGAAGGGACGATCCTATTCATCTGAAGTTTGAGACTCTCACTGCAAGGACATGTCAAGACAATGCAGGAGTCCTTTTCAAGTGCAAGCATTTGTGTCTGTGGACACTTTGCACTAGGCCGCTTTTAAAATACAACCAAGTTACCAAAAGAAAATTTCCATGTCAATCAGTTTTTCTACCTCTTCAGCAGGAAATTCATCTTCTGGAAAAAAAAGACTTACTATGACTCCATTATAGTTTGGAATTGAAACTTTGATTATGCCAATCTTTCAGGTGATGAGATTTGCATGAATAGCTTTACTATCAAGGTGATTATTACATGGGTAAAATTTTTTTTCAGATTTATCTGACTATATCAGAATAACTTTACTAGTTCAGAGCAATCTAAAAGTTTTATTAATATATCTCAAAATTTATTATTTCTCAGCATTGTTTCAGAGATTTTTCAAGAACACAGCAAGGATAAAAGTAGCAAAAATATTATATCTCTTTTGTGGATTGGCTCTATGAGTTAGCTTATGATGGGCCAGTCACACCTCTATCTGAAATGTGTGAGCTCTATTCTACTAAGAACAAGTAAGAGGGAGTAAGCATCGTCAGGATAACAAAGCTCGCCTTGCATCCAAAACTGATCACATAATTGCTAACAGCTATACTTTACTAATTTGCCTTCCCCATTTCTTTCCAATCTTTTTTGTTTTTGTTGGTACTAGGAATTGAACTTAAGGACCTAGACTGGCCTCAAACTTGCCATCCTCTTGTCTCTGCTTCCGAAATACCTGGGATTCCAGGTATGGGCTACCGTGCCTGGCCCCTGTCCAGTCTTGAAACAATCTGAACTTTCAATAAGCTTTTGCTGTTATGAAAACTTCATTAAACCTTGTCATTCTTATTGAGTTAAAGATTTATACTATTTATTTTTATATCCAAGTTTTATAGGAGACCTTTTATTTAGTAGCACATATTATA